CATGATCAAATGAAAAAACAATTTTCAAGTCTTCTTAAACTAACTGAAGAAATTATTCCTTTATATTATGATACTACATTTTCCTTGGGTGAAGTTTATGTTTCAGTACGGACAATTTATACTGTTAAAAAATGATTTTCTAACCGTTTTCTCCATTTAGATATTGAGTTTTCGACATACAATGTTTACTGAACGACCAATACTTCCAATTGCCATTCTAATGCATGACACTAAACAAGAATATGCACATGATAATATAGCTCGTGTACTTGAAATGGAATTACCAGATTTGTATAAAAAATGTGTATTTATAACAGATCATGAAATCGGATTTAAAAATGCTTTTCGAAAATGTTATCCTACAATGCCACAACTTCGTTGCTGGAATCACGCACTAAAAGATATTAAAATTGCTGCTAAAAAGTACTTACATGTTGAACAACAATCACAAACTACTGAACAACAACAAACACCATCTGATGAACAACAAACATCTAATGAAGATACACAAATGAAGATTGAACAACAAGATGATAATCTTTTAACAAAAAAACAACTTGTAGCTTGTGTTATGGAAGAAATCAAAGATCTTCTACGTTCAACCACTCGTGATGAATTTATCAATGAATATGCAAACGTTTCTCAGTCGTGGTCACCAGAATTTTATCATTACTTCGAAACATATTGTTTACCATCAATCGATGAGTTAGGTAAGTCCAAATAATTTCTTCCTTTGACAAGTCGACTTATCCTTTATATAGTATCTTTTGACTAAAACGATACATTCATTTTTTTTCTTCCTTTGATAAGTCGACTTATCTCAAGTGGATAACTCGACTTATCCTTTACATCATTTTTTTTTACTAGATTTATACATACATTCTTTCCTCCCTTTGATGAGTCGACTTATCCTTTACATAGGATCTTTTGACTAGATCTATACATTCATTTTTTTCTTTCTTTGATAACTCGACATATCTCAAGTGGATAACTCGACTTATCCTTTACATAATTTTTTTTGACTAGATCTATACATTCGTTTTTTTCTCCTTTTGACAAGTCGAGTTATCCTTTAGATAGTATCTTTCAGTTAGATCTATACATTCGATTTTTTCTTGCTTTGACAACTCGCCTTATCTCACGTGGATAACTCGACTTATCCTTTACATCATTTTTTTTTACTAGATTTATACATACATTCTTTCCTCCCTTTGATGAGTCGACTTATCCTTTACATAGGATCTTTTGACTAGATCTATACATTCCATTTTTTCTTTCTTTGATAAGTCGACTTATCCTAATGAGACAAGTCGACTTATCCTTTACATAATATTTTTTGACTAGATTTATACATTCAATTTTCCTCCCTTCGATAAGTCGACTTATCATTATGTTTTTTATATACTATTGATGTTGTATCATTTAGGTGCTTGGTCTAGTCTTCCGATGAATCTATTTGATGATATGTCTGGTGTAACAAGTAATCCTAGTGAAAGTATCAATGCTGTGTTCAAGCGGTGGCTTTGTTGGAAAGAATTATCACTTGATGCATTAGTTCAAATGTTTTATTTAGTATTAGGTTATTATGTCAATGAAATTAGACGTGGTTTTTCTGGATATGGTTTGTACTTCGTTTTCAATATTCTTTGTTAAATCTGATACTATGTGTACTAATCGTTTCTCTTTTTATAGGCAATTATCATTTACAATTAAAATATAATGATTCAAAGGTTGATCCTGCTCTACTAACATTTGTTTCTGGATTTTCACCTGATGTGGCTGTTGAAAAAATGAGATCTCTGTTACTTAAGCGAAAATCATCTGAAAATCATGGCGATTCTGGAATGAATTCTATAATAACTAAATTGGATTTTAGCAGCTTGAACAATGATGGTGATATTAGCATTTTACAAGATTCTGCGATGAATCCAGCTCTTCAAGATACATCGATTCAAGGTCCAACAGAAGATAATGATAAATCTTCCTATCGTGCAACATTAAGTAATACTGATCGAGCTGAACTTCATATTCAACAAGGTTTAGTGAAATTTCATGAAGATAGTGGAGCTTTTATTGTACGTTCTCTTGATCATAATTTGGTTCATGCTGTTCATATGAGTGATCCTAAACGACTTTTTCGATGTTCATGCTCAAACACAACGCAAAGTTGTTTTCATATACTTTGTGTTAAAGTATATTTGAGTAAGTTCACATTTCAAAAGATTAAAATCTTGTCAATTACGCTTTCTATTTTACTTTTAAGAGATGCCGATGGACAAGTCCAATGAAAAAGTTAATCTTGGTCATTCACGAAAACGTAGAAGAATCGAAGACAAGATCACAAAGCCTGGTGGAAAACGACCTCGTCGATGTGATAAAGATCCAGAAAAGAAAAATACATCTCCATATTTTCATTCGAATGAGAACAGTTCAACAATTCTTTCACAAACAAAACAAATAGGCATTGCTTCTCAAACAGCTTCATTAAATAATCCATCATCGATTACTCGTGCACTTACAGATATATCTAATGTACCTTCAAGTTCAACTGCTCTTGATTCTATTCAACGAAGAATAACATCGATTCGTTTTGTCACACCAATAAATATCAGTATGCCATTACGACAATCAACCGAATCCTTAGTTCTTAAACCACTCTAGGTTATGTAAGTTTTTCAGAATGGATGTTTTTGCAATTTTAATATATTTTTATCTTTATTCTAGTGTTGTACATCGTGACAATAGTTTTTTTTTGTTTCTTGATTAGTAAAGCTTTACAAGATATTGCTAGTAATATACTTGTTGTGATACAGTTAATATACAGATGATATGGTTTACTGTGTTAAAATACTGACAAGATTTAATTGTATTTTTATCTTTACGATTTTTGTGTGTTTTTCTTATAGCATAAGGACATTGTTTCAGGAATGATTTTGTAGTTTTTCTTATTTTTTATTCTGTATATCATGTAATTTTTTGATCAAGCTTTTGTGTCTATTTACAGGTGAAAATAATTCACTATATGTTTGTTTATTTGTGTTGGTTGATCATACTTATTTTTTTCTTATTATAGATTTACTTATATTAATTCATAATGCACAAAGCTGTATTCGTGAAGCCGGTTAATACTATCAGTAAGTCAGTTATACTCGTGTTTCAGTATGATCTAGTGTGATAGATGATTATTTAGATGATTTATGTTTGAAAGTAAAAGAAGCATATATCGAAAACAAAATACCTACACCATATCCAGCTGCAAATAAACAACTACAATTGCGATTAACACAATTCGTTTCTAAAGGTAAAGTTCTTATTTAATTAATAAACAGTTAATTGTGCATCTGTTCTTTAAAGGTCTATCCGATGAACAGTCAAGTTTACCGTTTGACAAGGTAAATTCTAAACGAGTATATACTTTGGAAAAACATGATAACATTGTTCAATTGATGATGTTTGTTAAAGAAAATGATCAAACAAGTATTTTTCCATGTTATTTTAAAGATTATCATAAAAAAAGTGATTTTTATTGTAGAAAAATTGATTGTATTAACAGTTGATGATGAAATTCAGTTAGTTGTTTCGTCTTTCATGGAAGTGTATGAACGAACGGGTTTTCTTGAATCGACACCTAAGTGCCATAAACGATTAGATAATACTTATTTAATTTCAAACAAAAGAATTCGTATTATTCAACGAACACTGTAAGATTTACATATTATAAATCTCATTATTGTTCTTATCAATTTTAGAGGAAAATTTATTGCTTTATCATATAATGATGAAAACAAAGATGTTTCTACTACAAATTCAGCACCAGAAATTGATAGTAATGACACAAATGAAAATGAAGATTGTAATGATACAGCTGTTGCTGATGTAGATAATCAACAACTAAAGTAAGTGCTTTCCAGAAATTATTTGAACAATTTATTATCATAATAAAGATTTCATATATTCTGATATATTAGCAGAAATGTTCCCAATACTGTTTTGCAAAGTACTGAAAATATTTTGACACCATCTTCATCAAAAACAACTGTCATGACACGTTCAAGATCTAAATTGGACAAAAATCAGAATGGTCAATCAATAGAACGGTAAAGTTTTGTTCAATTTATTTCCTAAAACTATTTTATAACTATGCTCTGTTTGTAGTGTTGATACTTTAAAGTCTTCTAAAAGAAGAAAAATTAGATAATGTGAAATTTGGTTATTGTTTGTCTACTGATCGAAGTAATCGTTCTATATCACTTGGTAATAAATCTTTCATAAATCTTAACTATTTGATTATCTAGACTGTTTTCTCAATACATATGTCTATATTGTAATTCATTTATTTTTTATTGTTTTCAAAATTTTGTTACTTTTTTGTTGTGCTGATATCTCTTGCGAAACTTTATAGTTTCTTGTCAAAATAAATGATACATTTAGAAAAGTATTTTATACACAGCTACTATGACCAAAATTAATATAATGTGTTTGTGAATGTAATTTTGTATAGTCGATTAAAATATTTAAGTCTGGGTTCTTTCAAATATTATCAATAATTTCTTTAACTTCTTTAAACCATCAATCTAGTAATTATCAAGAAGCTAATAAACCGATGATTATTCAGTTTTTACTCAAAACATTTAAGATATATTGCATGATGGTGACATCTTTTAGAATTAATAGCACTTTAAATGTATAAGATATATGAAATAGAACAGCCAATCAGTTTATTAGTCTTCTTCGTTCTTCGGCTTCGGCTTCGGCCAATTACTCCGACCCAAAATTCTTTTAGTTTGATTCATTCAAGAAAAATTCTATCTGAATTATTTTATTCATTTTGGTTTTTATAATTTAACATTAGAATTAACAAATATTTGGTTACTTTTTTTCTAAAAATGAAAAACAAATTTGTTTATTTAATTAGAAGGAATTTTATTAATTCATTTTTTAATTATTTTCAAAAATAAAAATCGAAGTTTTGTCAAATTAAATTAAAAAGAGTTTTAATTTCAAATTTTTTCATATTTTTGGATTCGATGATTTCCATAATCAACAACATAAAGATTTTCTTCATTATCAAATGATAAATCACTGGGTAGAGTCAATTGATTTGATTGGTTTCCTTTACCATTTCCACCAACAACAATGTCACCTTCTGCATCTCCTTCACACCAACGCATTATTCGATGATTCCGAGAATCTGCCACATAGATTTGGCCCAAATGATTAACAATCACTCCTGCAGGATGATACAATTGTTTGAGACTATTTCCTTCACCATTTCCACCAGCAACAATAGTTCCTTCTTTTGCATCTTTTTTCCATTTCATTACACGATTATTGTTTGAATCTGATATATAAAGAGAATAATCTTCATCAATAAAGATAAAAGTAGGAACGCTCAGTTGATTAAGATGATTTCCTTTACCATTCCCACCTGCAACTAATTCACCTTGTTCATCTCCTTGTTTCCATCGTCTTACTTCATGATTCGCACGATCAGAAGTATAAATAAATCCATTTTTATCGATTGTCAGACCCCAACAATCAGTATTTGAAATAATAACTTGTTGATTTGTTTGATTTTGATCAAAATATCGAATTACTCGGTTGTTTCCATAATCAGAAATAATAAAAGAGTTGTTTTCTTTATCAAAAACTATATCTGTTGGCCGACTCAATTGATTATTTTGATTTCCTTTTCCATTTCCACCTGCAATGATTTGACCAGTATTTGAATTCGATTTCCATTTAACAATACGATGATTCGAAAAATCAGCAATATAAACTGATTTATCATTATCAACAAAGATCCCAAAAGGATGATTGAGGTGATTTAATTCCTGTCCACATCCATTTCCTCCAGCAACAGTAATTGCAGATTGTTGATATTTATTCTTTTTTGTTTGACTTTGTTCTAAAATAAAGATTTTCTTTTTACTAAAAATCTTTTTCATTATTTTCAAATAGAAAAAGGGCAAAAGTAAGAAGAAAAACTTGTATTTGAGCTTGTTTTAGTGAAATAAAATTTTCTTCTTAATCAACAAAACTAAGTTCAAATAATTCCTTCGTTTAATTCAGATTTTTCAATTGAAAATTGTTTATTTGATTCTCATAAAAGTTTAATTTCAGAAAATGTTTTTCTAAATCAGAATCATTTTTACTTCAATGATCTACATAAAATTCATTAAAAACTTCTTTTTTATTAATAAATTAAATAATTCTTTTATTTAAAATATTCTAAACTAAACAATTGAACTTAACTTAAATTTATTCAACAATTTCAAAACAAGCTAATCTTTTCATTAAAATATTGAAAGAGATTTTTCAAATGAAAAAAATAGAAAAATTTAATTTATTCTCAGAAATTTGCTTACATTTGAGTTTTATATTAGAATAAATCTTTTAAAAAACAGAAGAAAGTAATGATTTTATAAAAAATTGTTAATTAATTCATCTGTTGAAATAATATCTGGAACTAATTTTATCTAAAAGTTTTACAAATATTTTCAAATTATTAACAATAAAATATTTCAGATAGAATTTTAATTCATTTAAAATATAAAAATATTGAAGAAAATATTTGAAATGTGATTGATCGATTGAAAGAAAATAAAATTCCTATTGAATTTTGATCATTTTCAGAATTTAGAAAACGACAAAAATCGATTTTTTTTATGAAATGGAAAAATTAATTAAAACCAATTTGATTTTTATTTCGAAAATTTGAATAATTTGAGAAGAAAATGAAATTAATTTCAATTTTTAACAAAAATAACGGATGCGGCAGAATAAATGGCCCTCTCAGTATTCTGATCGTAATTTTTTCATTTTTTATGCTACTCAGCTAAATTTTTTTAAAAAGATGCGCAAAGATATTCTCTACAAATTACATACTTTATTTTACTTTATTTAATCTACATTGCTTTTCGATAAGCGATTAATCAAAAATGTTACCTAGAAAGTACGACTCTTTCGAAGGCTTTACTTTTCATGCCCTTAAAAGTTCCTGTATACGGAAACGGAAAAACAGACTAAGGAGGTTTGTAGAGAATTTCTTTGCGCATCTTTTAAAAGAAATTTAGCTCAGTAGCATAAAAAATGAAAAAATTACGATCAGAATACTGAGAGGGCCATTTATTCTGCCGCACCCGTTACTATGTATCAGTAATGTATGAATATAAACAACCTTGAGATTTAAATTAACATCTTGTTATAAGGTTGTGTTTAAAGGTTGATAATAATCGAAAGAAGATCGAAAATTTCCATTAAATTAAAATTTTCAACAAAAAACTACAAGACTTACTTACTTTTCTATAAATGTTTATTTTAATTAGAAAATAAAACCTTCGATGTTAAATTTTGTTGTTATTTATATAAATTAGTCTAGAAAAAGTATTTAAAATGAAAAATTTTGTTAGTCTTCAAAACAATTTTTATTTTAAATATTTATTCAATAATATTCTCAATATCTTAACGGGTAAAATAGTTCGAAAACCATGGATGAAATCTCTTTTCAGTGTTATATTAATTAATCGAAAAGAAGCAAATTATGGATAATTTTATGAATATTGTTTCAAGATAAGTTGGTATTTCTTATCTAAAGAATAATATTCTTTGAAAAACTAATTTAAGTTGTTACTTAATTAATAAAAATAATTTATGAAAAGTTCGATCTCAATTTTAAAGATAATAAAACTATTTTTTATTTAATGAAACATACCTTGTTTTATTTGAGATTGAGTTGATATTTGATTTTTTGATATGAAATTTTTTGATGTAGTTGCTGTACTACTTTTAGGTTGAATTGGGTGATAAAACTCTTAACAAAAAGAAAATACAATGATTTTATTCGGCAATAATAGAAAAATAACTAGTTTATTTTAATTCAATTTATATAAAAATATTAATATAATATTTTTGTTTTGAAAAAATAAATAAATAACAATCATTTAGATTATGAAAACTACTGTGTAAGCTTTTGAAATAATTTAAAATAGAAACAAAAGCAAAGTTTAAATTTTCTCATTTAAAATTTTCTCAATAAAGATGTAAAGAGAGAGAATTTGTTTATATTTTATCTTTTTAATTTGAATCAAAGAGTTTTCTGTATGAAATATTTATTTCTGTTTGAGAAAATATTTTTCTACTTATAAAATACGAATTTTATTATAAAAAAGAAAGATATGAATAGATAATAATTACTATTAATTTATATATTAGTTAAATCAGATTTATAATATTTTATTGAAACAAAAGTCAATTATTTATAAATTATTCCGTTGAATTAGATTTTATTTTCATCGATCCTTAAAACAATTGTTTTATCATTTATGTTGAAAATAAAGTTGTACAAGTATAATCATTAAATATTCTATTTCTCAATTAAGATTTTCAATAGATCAAGTTCAATAATAAAATATCAAATATTTCTTACTCATCTAATTATTTTGAGATCTGTATCGTAAATTCTAGAATGATTTATTTATTAATTTATTTGTAATTCAAAAACAAACCCCTAGACGAAGATATACGGTGTTGGGGTAAGGGTAAATGTAGGTTTCTTCTACATTCATAACCCATTCTTAAAGCTCTCTTTCATTTTCTCGCAAATTCATAGGGAATTTCTGTCATGCTTCCCCAATGAAGATTTCGTGGCGACTCCCCTGAAGATTCGTCAGGGGACAGCTGGCCTGGGATGGTAAGATCTAAAAATCTAACCGGAACAGTCAAAAAATCTACTGATCGAGATCCCTCTAGTTTTACAATTCTTTCAGAAAGAAAACACATCAACAGTAATCGTATTGAATAAGCGCACAAGTGTCTATATCTTATTTCTAAGATTGTGATGCTCTATAGAATAAACTAACCCATAATTATGTGAAACATTTTTTAGCAAATGTAGAATTTAGCCAGAGATCTTATGAAAATTCACTTTTTCGAAAATGAGCTAGCATCATAACTGTATGACTTATAAGTAGTTGTCTACCAAATTTTCTGTATTTAACATTTTATATTTCAACTGATCAAATAGCTTTTCTCTTACTCGATGTTGATTTAATCTGCACAGATTGATTTGTAACTGGTTGTAAAAGAGTAATTGGAGGCTTTATTTCTTTTAATTGAATCATATGAAGGCCTGGTGCTGGTCGAAGACAACCTACTACAATAAATTGTCGAGCAGCTAGAAGAAGAACTTCTTTCTCCGATTGATAATACGAATGGCGACTAATATCTTTGCCACTATCACATTCGATAGTAAAAAGTGTCCTTTGACCAGTTTTGTCTAGAAATTGTTCGTTTTCGAGTACTCCTATCGATGTTGTACATGAAGAAAACCCCCACCAGACAAATGTTTTCCCTTCAGTATATTGATTAGATAGATCTAAATTCACTCCACGAAACACATGGCGTCGTATGGACGGTAATTTTTCGAGTGCTGT